TTCTAGAATTACCAGTGTGACAGCTAATGCAATAATGATTTGTTTCAAACGCCAGTGTTTAAGCTGTATAAAGCTGATTTTATACATTTTTCCAGTAGGCCGCATTGTAGTTAATGAAATTAAACACACCAATCGCATTTGTCCCCAGGGGACGAGGAACTGAACACGCCACTGGTTTATTTTTTTATTAAAATAAATTGCAGCCGGCAAGATGGACTAATTGCATACAGAATTGAAAAAGAAACATTCCATTGATATAATTAAGCCAATTTTCATGGACAGAAATAGTTATAGTGGATATAAACTAAGCGAGGTCTGCCCCAGAGCCCCGTTCCCGTCTTTTTTCTCACGGAACGTCAACTATTAAACAAACATGGCTCTGAGGCAGGGCACCTACCTGCCACCTCAGGCTTTGTTCCCACGTGCTCCCCAGAGGAAGGCCAGGCTGGCCACCACCAGGCCCCCAGGCCCTGGACAGTGCAGGACCCACCAAACCCACAGCATGAGAACCTTCTACTCCCCCCCCACACATGGGCACTGCCGCCGGCAGCCGCTGGTCCCTGAGGCCTTGGCCTCAGGAAGCTGGACAGGACAGCCTTCCACCCCTGCCCCTGACACCTGTGGGGAGGGGCTCAATCTGGGGCACTGTCACCTGGGGGGTGCCCAGGGCTCAGATGGGCAGGCCTTGGCATTGGCATGGGCAGCCATGCCAGGTGCCCGGAAGGTGCTCCAGCCTCAGCCCTGCCCGCCCAGCCCAGGCAGCTGGAACCCTGACACTTTCTGAAAGCCCTAGGAATGAACTGTGGCAGCAGGGGAGGGGAGGGGGCTCTGCTCTGACCCAACCCACTCGCTGTGTGACCTCTGGGCACTGATCTGACTCTAGGTGCTGGCTCCCTGGGGAGTTCCGACCCCACCCCCACTTCAGGCAGTGACCCCTGAGGGCTCGGCACCTCCCACTTCCGGGAGGCAGTGTGGGACCCCCCAGAAGGGGCACCCCCTCCCTTCATCTGTCTAGACTCCCCCTGCACCCCTACCCGCCCGGGCTCCCCCTCCCCACCGCCCAGCCTGGTGGGAAAAGGCGGGTGAGGGAGGGGGTTGGGGAGGGTCTGGGCGAGGCTGCGGCTCAGGGCTCCGGGTCAAACGCTAAGAGGCAGAAGCCCTTGGGCCAGACCTTGCCCTGGTCTGCCGCAGCTGGGAGCAACCTCGGGGTCAGGCGGCTCGTCTGCTGGCGAGCGGCCGGAGTGAACGGGCGCGGGGAGCGGCGGGAGTGAACGGGCGCGGGGCTCAGCCCGGCACCTCCAGCCCGCGGAGGGCTGGCGCTGCCCACAAGAAGCCTCTTGCCAGCCCTGTGCCAGCACCCAGCACTCGTTACGTGGGTTTCCTTCAAATCCTGATCGATTGTATTTAACGCTATTTGAAAATTTTAAACGAAATTATTCAAAAGATTTTTAATCCTGGATAATTTTTGTTGAAACTCTAATTATCCATCACTTTAATTACCAGCACCAGCGTCCCCCCCCAGTCCCTAATTGCCCCTAATTGACTCTCACAGGGGCTAATGGTGCCCACACCGCCCCCAGGGGCTGGGCAGGGGGCTCTGGGCAGCCCCCACACTGCACGGCAGGAGACCCAGACCGGGAGGGGTGGAGCCCAGCACCTGCTCTGGGGCCACCGAGTCCACCCCCATCCATCCCTCTGGATGTCCCTGACGGAGCCTCTGTGGACAGGGAGGCCAGGCCTGGGACCCCAGGGCAGAGTCAACACCCACTCCTGGGGCGGAGCGGGCAGCCCTGCTGACTCCGCTGCCGGCACCTGGCCTGTTCGCCCAAAGCGGGGCTGCCCCGGGACAAGTGGGCGGGCTCAGCGGCCCCGTGTCCAACTGCCCAGGCAAAGGCCGATGCCCAGCTTGGGCTCCAGGGAGGGCAGAGGGCCACAGGTGACCTGCTGTGCTTCTGGGGCTCCAGGTCAGCGGAGAGTGGGGGAGGACAGTGGGAGCCGGCTCCAGCCTGTCCTGGACACCCTCCCGGTCACACACACACACACACACACACACACACACACACACACACAGCCTCACAGAGTGCCCGGGGCAGGGCAGCGCCTGGCCTCAGCGCCCAGCACACACTTGCCTGGAGGGACTTGGAGCCAGACCCCCTGGGGCTGCAGAGCACCCCCCCTCCCCGACAGCTGGCTGCAGAGTGTCCTGCTTCTTCCCCGCTTCTCCCCCTTCGGCCCACTGCGGAGGGGCAGAAGAGCCCCTGCTGACTGCCCACCTGCCCACCTGGCCCCACCCTCTAAAGCAGTGGCGGTTTTGTTAGCGTCCCTGCCCGGACCTGCCCACCTCCCGCACTGCCCAGCACAGGGAGGAGCCCCGGGGCACCCCATGCTGGATGAGGAGGCCACAGGGGGCCTGGACCGGGTCTGAGAGGGCGGCTCTGGCCGGCTCAGAGCGCCCTGCCGGGCCCCTGTGGTGTCCCAGGCCGGCCACACAGAGTCCACGCGCTGCAGAGGGGTCATGGGAAACAAACGAAATCACAGCCCCTGAAGCCCCGTCCAGCACAACCCCCTGAGCTCAGAGTCTCGGGGTCACACCCACCCAACTGGCTGGCCCTTCTGGCCCGCACGGCAGGCCAAGAGCAAGGGCAGAGGGAGGGGCCGGCCTGTCCCGTGACCCCGCTCCCTCCCGGCCCAGAGCGGCCCGGCGGGTTGGCAGCCGCCTCACTCCCAGGTAATGGAGTCGGGTCCCCAGGGACGTCCACATCTGCTTAAAATATCGTCCAATGAAGTGAAATTCCTCCCGAGTCGCTTGGCCCTACGGCCGCGCCTGCCCCAGGCACCGGCCTGGAGGTGGCCGCCAGGTCCTGCCAAGGGGTTCCCCGCTGCTTCCAGCTGTGTCGGGCTCGGGCTCAGTCCGGCTGGTTCTCGCTAACGACTCTGGCAGGGCTGCAGCACTGTGCCCCCAACCAGCTCCTTCCTCCGAGGCCTTGCAGGGCCCAGGTCCCGCGGCCCAGGTCTGGGCAGCATTGGCCAACGGGCGGGGGTGGGGGGCGCCGAGCAGACTCCCGGCCTGCGCCGGGTGCCTGCCTGCCCGGAGTTCGGGGCTGGCGGCCTCGGGCGCTCTCGCTTGCAGCGAAGGCCAGAGCGCCAGCCCAGCGCTCGGCGCCGCTTCGCTCCTCCGGGTCCTTCCCCCGCGAAGGCTGACCCGCGGCCTGCGCCCCGGAGCGACGTCTCCGGGGCGACCCGAGCGCACGGCCGACCAAGATGGGCTCCCCAGTCCGGCGCCCCCCACGCGCCCCGCAGGCTCCGGCCCAGACGCTCGCCGTCTGCGGGCGCGGGCCTTGTTCGCACCAACAGGGCCCAGAGGTCACACGGGCCAGGGCGGACGCAGCCGTCCGCGGGCGCGGGCTGGAGAGGGGCGTCTGGTCCAGGGGCCAGGAAGGGCCACCGCGGAGTCCAAAGGGGGGGGTCCCCCTGAACCGCCAGCTGCTTTTCCCCTCGGGCCGAGGGCGGCCTGCGCGCACGGGGCGGCGGGCCGGGAGCCGTGCGCGATCCGATGGGGAGTGCGGGCGGGCGGCGGGCAGCGGCGGGCGGCAGGCGGTGCGTCCCCCTCCCCGGTTCTCGCCGGGGGCCGCGGCCCGGGCGCTGCCAGGCCGGTCGGGTGGGCGGGGGCAGGCGAACGGCCCGGCCCGCGTGCAGGGCAGGGCTCCCCGGAGAGCGGCCGCCGCCCCCTGCCCGGCGCCCCCGCAGCGAGGGGGCGGTGGCCCGAGCGCAGACGCCGGGGCGACGGGCGCGGGGGCGCGGGGGCTGCGCGGGGCGCAGGGCCGGCCGTGCGCCGCACTCGCCGCTTCGCTGCAGCCGGGCTGCGTCCGGGGCCGCGAGAGCCGCTCGCCAGCCGCCTCCCCCACCTGTCCCGCCGCTCGGGCCGGCCCGCGGGCCTCGCCGCCGGGGCGCTGAGGGCGCGCGGGGATCGGAGCGCGGCGACGGGCGCTGGGCGCTGGGCGCGGGGCGCGGGGCGGCGGGCGCGCGGGCCGGGGGCGAGGACCCGGCCGGCGGCGGGCTGGGCGCCGGGAGCCCGGGACGCGGCCCGCGACGGAGCGAAAGAGAAAGTAAGAGCGGCGGGACCAAGCGGGCAGCGGCCGGGGCGGCTCGGTGGCCGGCGGCCGGGCGGCCGGGCGGCGCGCGGGGTTCCGCGCGGGGCCGGGGCGGCGGCGGCGGCGGCAGCGGCGGCGGCGGCGGGGCCGGGGCGGCGGGGGCGCGGGGCGGGCGCGGGGCGCCGAGGGCCGAGGGGCGACCGGCGCGGCGCGGGGCACCCGTGGGCACAAAACTTCCCGGGCGGGCGCGGCGGCGGGCGCGCGGCGGCGGCTCCCATTGTGCTCCCGGCCGCGGTGCCGCCTCGCCCGCCCGCTCGGCCGTCCGCGGGCCGGGTGGGCGCCCGCGCCCCCGCCTCCAGCCCCCGCCCCGGCTCGGGGTCTCCCTCCTCTGCGCCCGGCTGGCGGACGCCAAAGGCGGTGCTCTAGCGCCCACTATTCCAGGAGCCCGGAATACGATTTGCCCAGGACTGCGAGGCAGTCGGAGAGCGAGCGAGCCAGCAGCCAGCCAGCAGGGAAAAGTTGCTTTCCCCTTTCGTCAACTTTTCGCTAACTTTCGCTTTTCGCTCCCCTCCACCCCCGGCCCTCCCCCTCCGCCCCCCTCCCCGGCCCCCACCGCGCGCCTCGGGTTCCCGGGCCCGAGCGCCTGACAAGGGGGGGGAGGGGGTTCGGCGAGGAGGGGGCCGGCGCCTTCGGGGAGCGCGCGGCCCGGGCGCCCCGAGCCTCCGCGCCGAGCCCGGCCGCCCCGGAGCGCGGGAGGCGGAGCGGCCCCCGGGCCGCGCGGACGATCGAGGGGCCCCGGGCGCCCCGGCGCGCCGGCCGCGCCCCGCCCGACGCGCGCCCCTGGCCCGGGCGCCCCGGCCCCGCGGCCCGGGCCCGGCGGTTCGGCGCGGCCGGGCGCGGGAGACTTACTTTTGGCCAGCTTCCTCGCTCTCGCCTTGGATCGCATGGTGTCGGCGCGCGGAACCTCCTCCTCCTGGAGTCCAGAAGCAGCTACACACGATCTTCATCTCCCCAGCATTGTCAGTTTGGACACCTTCGCACATGCGCACACAGCGCTCAATCTGACACCCCTCGCCGGGGCCAAAAAAACTTTGCAATGTATTCATCATCCTCATCATCGCGCCGCCGCCCGCCGCCGCCGCCGCGCGCGGCTTTGGGGGGCTCTCGGCGGCCCGCGCGGCCTCACCTCCCGGCCCCCCCGCCCCCTCCCCCTTTCGGCGCGGCGCGGACTGGCCCTTTAAGAAAACATTCCCTGCCCGGCGCTCCCGCCCGGGGCCCGCACCCCGGACACTTTAAAAGGACCCAGGTGGCCCCGAGGCGAGGTGACGGCCCCCCGCCCTGCCCCCGCGCCGCGCCGCGCGGCCGGCCCGTCCGGGACGGCGGGAGGATGCGGGCGGCCGCCGCGCCGCGCCGCGCCGCTCCGGGACGGGGGGCGCCGTGCTGGACAGTCGGGGCGCGGGGCCGGCGGCCGCGCCCGCTGCCCCCCGCGTGTCGTGACGAATTAAAGAGCTTTGCGCGCCCCCGGCCCGCGCCCCCCCGCCCCCGGTCCTCGCGCCCGAACCCGGCTCCGCCGAATCCCCCTCCCCTGCGCCCCCCAACCCACCGCCGAGTCTCGGGGCCGAGCGGCTCCGGCCCCGCGCTCGCTCCGCGCTGCCCCGGCCGGCACGGGCGGCCTCGGACCCTCCGGACCGCGGGGCGCGGCGCCCTCCGCGCTCCCAGCTGCGCTCCCCGGGGGCGCGGTCGCCGTTCGGGGCCCGCCGCCCCCAGGTGAGTACCCGCGGCGCACCGCCGCCCCCGGACCGGCCTCCTGGGGCTCCTCGCACGCCTCTCCCGGCCCAGGTGCGCCGCGGCCGGAGCAGGTGGAGCGCGCGGGCGGCTTCGCGGCGGCTCCTCGCCCCGCCGGCCGCCAACTCCGCGGCGCGGCCCCGGGGGCTGGGGGCGCTGGCGGGGCTGGGGAGCCCGGCCCGGAGGGGGACCCGGGCAAGTCTGGGGTTCTTTCTGGGCCCCGGACATGGACCTGGACGCCAGCGGGACCCCGTGCCCTCCCTTCCGGCCCCACAACTCGCTTCGCCCGGGGGTGCTGGAGCGGGGCGCGGGGTCGTGCCCGCCGCGGCCCGGGGGGGCGGCTCCGCCTGCCGCCGCCCCCTCCCCTCGCCGTGCCCTGCGGCCCGGGAGCCTCCGCCGCGACCCACAGTGGCAGGAACCCCGTGGCCTGTGCTGAGGGGGGCGAGCGGCTCTGGCCTGAGCTGACCCCAACCCCCACCCCCCACCCCAGGTCCCAGCAGAGTCGCGCCCCGGAAGGAGGCTTGGGGCTGCCGCCCCCGGCCGGAGCAGCCGGCCCAACTGGACTTGGCAGGCCCCGCCGAGACTGCGCCGGGCCTTCCACCTTCCCGGTCCGTGTCCCAGTCGGAAGCGCTTCCCAGACCGGATCAGAACCACCGAGCCGCCCTGCCAGGCTGCCCGCGACTACCGCCCGCCCACCGGTTGGAGGAGCCTCGGTGAGTGCTGCCATGCCGGCTCAGCCCTGGGGACTGTCCCCTCAGCTCCACCGCGCTTCCCAGGGAAGCTGGACTGCGGGCGCAGGTCGTGGGCTCTGGGGCCCAGTGGGGTGTCCCGTAGGGACTAGGCTACCCGGTGCTGGCCCAGGTGCAACCCCAGAGCGTGGAGGGGGCTGGTCCAGACCAAGGTCACCCTGGGCACAGTGGGAGCCCCGGAGCTCAGAGGTTTGAAGAGCAGGCCCAGAAGCACCCACCTGCAGCCCGTCTGCCCACCCCGGGCCCCTCTCCCCCGCGGGGGACAGCCATCAGGCCCACCTTCTCCTTGGATGCCCCAGCTGCACCCCAGGCTGGCCCCTGTGCCCCCTCGGCTCAGAGTCCCTGTCTGCAGGATCGGGGTCCCCCAACAGCCTCGGTTGGCCCCTTCCAGTGCTGGGGAGCCACAGAGGGGGACAGGTGGGTACACGGTTCCCCGTGCCGTGTGGGGCCGAAGGGCACCTCAGGGTCACCTTGGGAGTGGCTCAGGGGCCTGGACCCCAGGGGCACAGGGCCTGTTGGGGTACTCTCTTCCGGTCCAGGCTGGCTCAAGGAGCTCTGCGGGCAGCCTGCTGCTGATCCAAGGCCGTGCCCTGGCCAGGCCCTGCCCCCGCGTGGCCAGACTTAGAAGCGGAGGCCGGGCGGGCACTGCGCAGTCCGGGTAGCGGCCCCTGGCCAGCTGTGTGTGACAGACCAGACCCGGGTGCAGCAGGAAAGGGGTCTTGCCCATGAATCCCGAGAGGGTTGAAGGGCAGCTGAGGGGGACAGAGCCCCGGGGGCACTGCGCTGGGCGGGCTGAGGGTAACTGCAGAACTGAGCTGGCCCTGAGAGCCCCTGCGGGCACCCCAGAGCTCAGCACCTCCCTGGGCAACAGGTAAGGGGTCCCAGGGGCTCTGAGCAGCTCAGCTGCATTCCTCGGGCCACGTTCCTTGTTCCTTTCGGGGCCAGGGTGTAGTGGGCCAGCTCAGAATGCAGGTGGCTGCCTCCTGGGGGCTGGCGACTGGTGTCCCCCTGTAACCCAGGGGCTCAGCTCCAGGGCTCTGCAGGCCAGTTCGCACACACCCCCAGCGCCAGGAAACCCCTGATTTACATCTGATTGAAGCTGGAATGTCAACCCCGCTCCCGCCCTTGCCCAGGCTATGGGTATCACTCTCTGGGTGTCACACTCTCTCTCCGTGCAACCTTCTGCCCCTAGAGGCAAAGTTTCCCCCACACTGCCTGGCTGGAGAGCAGGAGGGGTGGGTCGAAGGGACAGGGGCTTGGTCTTAGAGCTCATCAGGGTGCTTAGGGGCTGCTGGGGAGGCCTGAGGTGACCAGGACCACCGCACTCCCCAACTCCAGCCCCAGCTTTGGGGGCCCCTTTGCTCCTCTTTTTAACCCCACCTAGTTTCTGGCCTAATTCTCGGTGCTGAGGGAAAGTGTCCAGCAGCCCCAGGCCCTGTAATGGGTCCACCTGGGAAGGCCAGGGATCACCGCCAGACGGCCCAGGAATTCGGGCAAGGGACCACAGCCAACAGCCCTCCCCCCCCACACACACACAACCAAGTTTGGAAAGCGGCTTCCTTGGTAGCGATCAGGACCCTGGGGCACAGGACAGGTTCCTGGGTGGGGTGCCCTGCTGGGCACTTGGGGGCTGAGTACGGGGTGTTTGCTGTTTTGTTTTGTTTTTGATTTAAGAAATCCACGCCACGGGACTGAACTCCCCACTGGAGCCTGGGGTGGGGAGGGAGTTTCTCCCAAATCTCAACCAAAAGCGGTCCTTGGAGAAGAAGCGGAGGGCCGGGACGCACCCCGCCGTCGTGGGGAGCCGCGTCGGGGGCAAGTGCGCGCGTCCGCGACGCCGCGGTGACCGCTTCGGTTTCCCACGCCTTCCGCCCGCGCCCAGAACCTCCTGAAAGCCGCCAACGAAACCCGCTGTCCGGCTCGCGCACTCGCGCTGCGCAACCAGCGCGGGGACCCTGGGGCCGCGCCCCGCCGACACCGCGAGCTCTTCGTTGCCCTCCCCAACGCCACCCGCCTCACGACGGGCGGGCGGAGCCACGCGTGGCCGAGGCGACCCCGCGGCGGCTCCGGAACGCGGCCCGCGAGGACTCGGCCCCTACCCGCGGCTGCGGCTCCCGCTGCGCGCGAAACAACGAAAACGGCGCGCGGGGGCGCGTTCCTTGCAAGCCGGACCCCGGGGCCGCCGCGCGGGCGTCCGCACCCCGCGTGCCCTGCGCCCCCGAGCCCGGGGCACCGCCGGGACGCCCGGAAACCGAACGGACGTTCCAAAGGGGCCTGAGCCGCGAACGCACGCGTGGCTCTGCGAGTCCCGCCTCGGCGTCCCGGGCCGTCACCTCTGAGCCCAGAGCCCCAGATTTCGTCTTTGGTTCCTGGGACTCCGCACGCCGCGGACGTAACCCTGGAGGGGAGAGCTCCGTTTCTTCTTTATCCCTCGTTCCCCCGAGCGAAGTCCGGGAGACGCTCCCATGCCCCCATCTCAGGTTCTCGAGAGGAACCGAGAAAATTCTGAGCAAACGGGCCGGGCACCCCGCACCCCCACCCAATACAGAGTTTGGGGTCAGTTTGCCCCAGGGACTTAAGAGGCAGTGCCGGCTGGGAGAGCCCAAGGTCGCCCCACATCCGAGCCGGGCGTTCTGCAGCGGCGCTCACTTCTGGGGAGGGGGCGCACCCCCCCCACTCCCCCCCCCACCCCCGCGCCTTCCCCGCCGCCGCCCCTGCGCCTCTCCCGTCGGGCGCCCGACGCCGCCTCCAGGGTGGCTCCCGGCCCTGCAGAGGGCGCGCGCCGGCATCCGTGGGGGGCGGGGGTGCTGGCGGCGGGCCTGGAGCAGAGGTCGCGGCGCGCTCCCCCGGGGCGCACCCCGGCCGGGACCCGGGCGACCGCGCGGCGGGCGTGTCCGGGCACGTTGGGGCGGGGCCCTCCTGCGTGACCTTGAGAGCCGGGCGGCCGGATCCGCCCCAAAACCCCGCGCCCGGATGGGGGGTCCGGGGCGGGGCCGCGCCTCTGCCGCCTTCCCGGCCGTCCGGCTTCTGGGCAGGAAGGAGGGGGCAGGGAGGGGCGGGGGCGGCCGGCGTTCCCCTCCGCCCCCGGGACTCGCTGCTGAACCGGTAATCGCCGCGCGGGTGGGGACGGGGCTCGCGCTGGCGAGGAAAGGTTAGAGACCAGAGCGCCCCAGGCAGAGGGAAAATTACTTCTTCTGCGGAGTGACCCGTAGGTGATGGAGCCGAGACGTTCGCCGGCCGCGCTGCGTCGCCAGCCTCCGGCCCGGCCCCGCGCGAGGACTGGCCAGGCTGGGCCGGGGCCTGGGGGAGCGCCGCCCCCCGCCCCCCCTCCGCCCTCCTGCTCCCTTTGTGTCCGCGGCCTGAGAAGGAGGGGACAGGGGCCAGCCAGTTTCTCCCCTACGCGGGTCAGCCCCGCCTGGCTACTGGCACCCCAATTCCCTAATGTGTACAGAGGGGGCGAGGAGCCGGCGGTAGGTGAGGGGCCAGGGCGGGGCGGGCGCTCCCCCCTCCGACTAATGGGCCCCACCCTGGGCCCAGCCCTGACCTTGTCCTACTGGTCAGCGCTGGCCCTGGGCCAGCTGGCTCCAGCAGGCAGCACCCAGCCCCTTGGGCTCCTAGTACGTCCTG